CATGAAGGGTGATGTGAAACCTTCTGTGCCTTCATAGTTCTCAGTGTAAATCCATTATAATATCTGCAATCTTTTTTTGTAGTTGTCAGTGAGCAACACTTACTATTCTTTAATTATTTTGGATTTTAATGAAATGGCATTCATAATTCATTGATACAGCATATATTTAAGCATCTTAAACCTACAGTATTTTGTCTTTTAAATAAATACAAAAAATGCTGTTTTGAACATACAGAGTTACTCTTTGATTTTTACTTTTTTTGAAAGATAAACTTTAGTAAGGTGCTTCACATGCTTTGGAACAGACTTCTTATTTCGTTTCCATAACAGTTTCGTTTTCACAAAGTTGGACCATTGGTTCAGAGAATAAAGAGACATAGATAATTGTGGAATTTGTCAACTGTATTTAAAAATGACATAAATAGAAATACACGGGATTCAGACAGCTGAGGAACTGACACCTCCCCATACACATATGAAAGGGGTTTTAGCTTTATAGAGGCATTGTAGCAATTTTCACTCGCAGTCATTGGGGTGAAAGGATGCTTCCAACCAGGACCCCTTACTTTCAGATATCATATGTGTAACCCAGTATGTCACCCATCTGGCTTTCAGCATTTGGCATGCATCTGTGCTCCCACTGTTCTCAGCTCAGTTTTTGAGCTGGCACTTCTTCCAGACGAGTAACAATATCTATAATGCGCTTCCATGCAGAATGCTCATGTAATACGAATTGCCTGGAAAAGGTAGATGAGAATAGTGCTGCACAGATGCAGAGATTAGAAATCCAGAGATGAAAATAAATACATTTCTTTCTCTTTAGTTTGTCCCCAAAGAGAAAAATGAGCCAATTGGCTTGAAACCCAAAAAGATTAATTCCCCCTACAACCTCATTCCATTCTAAGCATTTTTCCTGAATTGTCAGAGCCATTTCCTTCCTCCGCTCCCATCCCAAATGTCTCTTAGTCAAATATGATTTTGCTATTATTACTACTTGTGTTACAGGAGGACTAAGTCACAGCTCATGACCTTCATATAATGCCAATGTCAGTAAAACACTGAGGAGCGATGTTAGATTCTGTCTTTTGGGACTGAGTCTACTGAGTCTACAAATAGAAATAGATAAGCAAAGCGTAATTCTTTGTTTCAGGGCTTATTCTGCTCACTTCTGAGGACCAGGATTTACTTTTTTTCCTCTCCTTGACATACTACTACTGTATTTATTCATCTTCCTCTGTATAGGGTTATTTTCTTCTATAGATAGTTATACAGTTGCTGATTCGGGTCAGAAAGGAATTTTCCCCTAAGTCTAGGGACTGCTGAAGGCATGTCAGGGCATTTTAATTCCCTCCTAATGCCAGGTCCAAGAATGATAGCAATGTCACTGGTCTCTCCTGCTCTGTCTCTGTGGCATACTGTCATTTTCCCAGAGTTTACCTTCAGTCTCTTCATTTGTGCCATGGCATTAAAGTATGTTTTGTGGGGTTTGGAGTGCGCCCAGCGTGAAATGGATGTTCAGGGATACCTCTGAATGAAGATTCAACAGCGCAGCTACATGGAATTCCTAGGCTGGGCTCAGCCCAAAGGGCACCACGCAGCGAGGCTTTGCTGACTCTGTAAGGGAGGTGAACTTTAGTGGTGTTGATGCACAACAGGGCATGGCAGCTTTAAGACTGTGTATTCCCTAAGGGCCACACCTGTCCATTCAGGGTGATATTGGAATATCAAGTGGACAAACAGATACGTGTATAAAGAATGCAGTGGGGTGTGGAAGAGGAATGACTACTCCTAAACACGCTAAAAGTCTTATTTTAAACAAGGAACTGTGTCTGTCTGAGAATGAACATAATCCATCTTCAACTGCAATAAATACAGCTATGGAACCCCACATATCGTCAATTTGCCATGGAAACTTAAGGATCTTAAAGAAAAAGATGGTTTCTAAGCCATGTTTGGAGTTGACATTGCAGCAAAATTGAGCAAATGAGAATTGTTTGAGAAGTAGAAATGAAACTAAAGAGCATAACAGATCATAAAACACTAGCTTAATAAACATAACAAAAAGGCAAGCACAAAAAGAGAACAACACAATTTTGAAGTTTGATGTGTGGGTCAGTAAAATGCCTTAGGAACTACCAGAATGTTCCATTTCCCAATTAAATATATTAGAATGTGAGTAGCATTCAAATATATTTGGATTTATTGTCGCTGAAAATCATTCTTATTTGATGTAAATGATAATAAGTGTAGTTAGCTGAGATACTTAAAACAATAAAACAGTAAGTTTGGACAAAAAACCAGAACTATATCACAATTCTCTGTTAGGAAGAAGAATTTGGTATTTATGGAGGTGAAATAAATGTAATGAGAAAAGAGCACAAAGGAGAAATACCGATTATATTTAGGGATGTGCATTGAGAGATGCAAAGCAAATGTAGGAGGATGTATTTGCTCTCGACTAAGAGTTGCAGAGGAAACTGGCTCACTAAAATAGGCATGCACGAAATTCATGGTACCACTTTTAATATGCATTCAAGAAAAAGGATAAAAAAGCCATTTCTGACAAGAGTCATAATTTAACTCTAATTTATTCTACCCCTAAATCCATAGATTTTTTCAGGGAAAAATTCATCTGTTTTTGAGAAGGCTGTTCCAATAAAGCATAGTTCCGAGAGAGAACTGACTTACTAGTGACACTGTGGAATTATTTCTTTATCTGCTCCTCGATGTAACTAAATATTCACTGGTACTTGTGTGTCTAAATACAGGCAAGATTTTCATTTGAAAGATGCATGTGTCTGATCATTCCTTAAATTACATTTTCCTTTCTCTTCTAGAAGGAACAGACTCAAAGAAACAGCTTCTCTTTAGTGAACATGAGAACAAAGGCAATTCTGGGAAACACAGCTTTCATTTGTGGCAAACGGAAGCTGATTTCAGATACAGAATTGAAAAACTAGAGTAAATTTCCTTGAAGAAACAGTTACATACCATAACAATTTTGCAAATCTCATCCTTAGAAAGAGATGGCATTTTTTAATATTCTATCTTAGCGTGATTTTAACAGGAATAGTGATTTAGAAAGAGTTGCACTGATTCACACTAGCTAAGAATCTGCTCCAGCAAGACTATGCACAGTCACAAAGATAAAACCGTATTGCTGCATTAGGCATTTAGCTAAATATCTATTCAGAAAAGAAACAGGAAAGGCTACGAACCAAACCGTCCTTTCTTCCTGCTTCCAAGCAAATAAGGATTTTCTTGACGAACCTTTAGGACAGTTACAGTCTATTGCTCTTCAAAAATTGCTAACAAACAGGAACATCTAACTTTTTAAAAGAATTTGTAAAAATCACATGTAAAGCTCCTATGAGTCCCAAACTCTTCTCATTAATAAATAAAGAAAAAAAGCAAATGAAAACCAAGACACCATTGTGGTTTATGTGAACATATGGGGGGGTATTAAAATGCAAGGAAATGAACTGCACGTACTTTTGGAGTGGAAAATTACACATAAAGAAATTAAGAGTAAAGACAGAATTCAGGCCACAATAGTTCACACAGCGCAACACAAACACATGCACCAGTCAGTCCCAGTAAATGTATTGAACATGATGCCAAACAAAGCCAGAAATGTACTGCACAGTCAGCTAGATCTTGTTTAACATGAGATGGGGATCACAGGGAACACAATGAGGAGACCAGATTTAGAGCTATTTAACAAAGCTTCCTTACCGTGCCAAGAAGCTTTTTTACTGCTGCCCTTTAATATTTGTCAAATAGAAGTGGAGTATACTCAGTTTGCTGTGTAAAGATTCGTATCAGGCTGTAATTCTAAATAGAGAATGTGAAACATAGATGTCTTGGGGAAGAATTTTCATCTTGAAACTTATCGCTGCTTCCTGCTTCTTTAGGCCAAGGTCTGTTTCTCACTAACTTATGGCACTGTACCAATTTCTGAAGAACACATGCTAAGGCTAAAGGTGTCTGTCAAATCAGTTCCACATCAGATACCGTGATGTCATATGTTAAGACATCTCCAGGATTTATCTTAGCATTACATAGTTTTGTATAAAGAAAGCGTCCAGTCGTTGCTACTGGCTTCATCCCTTTGCATAGTTCCACTGAAAGGGGAATGGGGGAAAAAAAAGGATTATTTCTACAATAAAGGAATGAATGAGCATGAAAAAAATGATATAATAATGCTGGAGAAAAAGCTTTCTCCTACAAGGGGCAGATATTAATTGAATCAAATTAAAATTTAGTCAGAGCAGTGGGATTTTGAAAATGAATCCTCACTTCACACATTTATTTAGACCTTGCAATGTGCCTTATTTGAAGCAATTCCTAGGATACTGTTGGGGTCAAAATCAGCACTACTCAATGAGTAGCCTCTGAAAAACCAGCAGAAAGAGTGATCTGCTTTCTATGGATGTGTGTTTCCAGATTGATGAACTCTTGTGTTTAAGAAAATCCCATCTCTGTTTGAAATTCTTCCTGCTGCTTTGGCATTTATAAAAGTGGATTCTCTTCTGCTTTCTAAGTAGTGAATGCATGGTGACACTTTCTTACAATTAAAGCAGTAACGAGAATCTCTCTTTTACTTGGCCACCTCTTTTAGCAAACCATTTGGAGACCTGATTTCTAATTTCTCTAGAGGGTGGTGAATTCAGTCAAATTTGGTTGAAATAGATGTGATAATTAAAGGAAGAGTGGGGATTTATAGGGAGAGTAAGATCTACACCTGTGGCTGCATAAGATGTATTTCCTTAGGAAATTCAGCTAAATAGATGTATACGTCCATGTTTGGTCTGGGTCTTATCAGACAGGTTACACTAGATGGAAGTAGACACTAATCCAGTCCAGCAGTTAGTATATTCCCTCCATAAAGAACATATGTTTAAATACATCTATATGGATATGTAAGCATATGTGGAATAAGACAACTGGAACAACACTGAAGTTACTTCCTTTCCTTTTCATTTTCCCCACCTTTGCAGAGTATTTGGTGCTGCTATACTGCTGACATCCTCCCTCAACATGTTAATACCGTCTGCAGCCAGGGTGCACTATGGGTGTGTCATCTTTGTCAGGATCTTGCAGGGCCTTGTAGAGGTATGGAAAAATTAGAAAATAACCAGTAAATGTGACAGATGCTTGTTAGCTTTTAATTAGTCATTGTAACTTTTCAAGGGAAAATGGGAATTTCTTTCAGTTTATTACTGATTTTTGGTGTAATAGATTTCAATGCATGAATCACAGCTATTTGATTTTCCTTTACCTATAAAATTACATAGCAAAGTTTTCCCCTGCTGAGAAGCCAGTGAGATATGTATTTAACACTGAAGTTTCACTGAAATCCTGGACTGCATAGGGCTTATACTGGTGCCATTCTCAAGAGTTATTTGCTCTCCAGCCTCCCAGATTAAGTCTATAATAACAAATTAAGCTTCTATCACAGGGCCTGACCATGCTCTTGTTGGTATGAATGATCTACTGTGATTTAAGAGAGAAAAAAAATTGAGCCTGACTTTTAAATTTATTTGGTTTTTGTTTCTTTACTGAAAGACAGATTTTTAAGCCTGTGATTGCTGGTTCTTTGCTCCTCAGGGCTACACATTTCTGTTGCGTGAGCTGATTTTAACTCATGCACTTTATTGTATAAAAAGGCTCCAAAAGAGGGTGAAGAATGTGCCTGAAAGTCAGGGAACCATTAATCAAGTCCTTAAAGTATACATGTGTAAATATGGATCCATTGCTGAAAAGTGATCTGGATGTACAGAGGTGTGCTTGACTGCAAAGAGGAGAGGAACAGAAGCAAGTGGGTAATTACAAAATAAAATAGCTATTTTAGACCCACTCATTTCTGTGCTACTGTTCAAAGGGATTGTGAATGCAAAACATCTCAAACAGGACCATGTGAAGGAGGTTTACAATAAATCGTAACAATCTTAAGATTACGTTCTTATATTTTTTTGAAAAATTAATGAAAGACTGAAATGAACATGAAATTGGTTATAGGATCTTCTTTCAAAACAGAATAATGTATTCTACAACTTTTTTGTATATTGAGACTGATAATCTCAACATTTATGATAATCTCAACATTTGCCAAAAGTTATTAATTTTTTCTACTTCTTGCGTAGGAAACAAAATATCAAATTAAGAGAAAAGTGACTCTGTATAACTAAGCATATATAATCACAATTTTTAAGCATGAATTTTGTGGAAAATTAATGTGCATTTCATATTAAATTTTCTAAAATTCCAACACTGCAAGATGCCAAGATTTCTGTGTAGGTTTCCTATCATTAAGTTAAAGGCTGGTTTTGAAGAGAGACCTAAAAATAACTGGTTTAAAATCAAACTAACTAATATCAGCCAAGTATTGCTTTAAGTGTTCAAGAAGATTCATTAAAGACAAAGGTAGTGAAAAACTTCTGTCTTAACATCATATTTTTAAGCTCTTATTGATCTTATCTTCTAGTTTTAGAGCAGTGGAACAGTAATCTGTATTTCCTAAGTTATATTTTAAATGTTAGATCAAAAAATGTTAGAAGACCACCAAAACTGAGGGGTGGAGAAATGAGCCCAGCGTTAGAAAGACTCCAGAGGGTCTGTGATTTCATCCTTCCTTTGACTCTGGTACTTGTGTATTAAGATTCTTTCTTTTTAATTCTTTGCAATTCTTTCCTGGGAGGGGGAGGAGGAGCAAAATGAAATAATTATACTTTATGTCTGTTTCACAAGGCCTTTTTAATGATTTGGAGTGATATACAAAACCCATTTCAACTTTAATAGAAACTGAAGTTTTTCTATGGCTGTGCTCAGACTTGACTATAGAAGTGCAAAGCATTCTCAACTTTTTGTTTGTAGCAATTAAAAAAAAAAATCATGCAAAGACAATGAACTGAGTGCTTGATGAGCATTAGCTAACTTCTGGCACACCCATTCCCCAGGGAGTCACCTACCCTGCCTGCCACGGTATTTGGAGCAAGTGGGCCCCCCCATTAGAAAGAAGTAGGTTAGCAACCACTTCCTTTTGTGGTAAGTACCTTTCCATTTTTGTCTTTCTTTCATTTGTAATGTAAAAGTATTTTGAGACTGATTTTTTCTCCCTTTTCATCCACACATCTTGTTTTGTAGGTTCCTATGCAGGAGCTGTTATTGCAATGCCTTTAGCTGGAATTCTAGTGCAATATACTGGGTGGTCTTCTGTGTTCTATGTGTATGGTATGCATTTTTGCTCATCTCCCTCCAATATTGTATGACCTTACTCTACCCTTTCTAAAAATGTAAAAGCTACTGTTAAGAGGCCAAAAAAAAGAGAACTGGGTCTATAAAGCTAAAAATACAGCCTAGAGAAAAGGACAACGAAAGAACAGAATTTAAAGGAGAGAGCAGGAAAGAAGATTATTTAATAAGAAGAGAAGCTAGTTCATGGTGAAATCTTCATCACTTCTAGTATAAGTAGTGCAAACTGCTATGCAGATCTATACAATCTCAGGTCATGTCACGTCGCTCTTTCATTTATACAACTGTAAGTTTAGAGTACCTGCCCTGGCTAAGTTGTCCTGATTTTTATCTGAAGACCTACATAACTTCATTCACACTAGTTGTGCTACCTGAACTTACACTGATGGAAAAAAATGTCCCAAAGGAGTTCATTCTGCAGTGTAAAATTGATGTGAATTAGGGGGAAACGTTATAGAAATTTAACACTACTCAGGAAGTGTATTGCTATGTTGAAAACAATGCCACAATCTTGTATTTTGCAGGTAAAAAATTTAGTGCAGTAATCAAACAACAGTGGCTTAAACAGAATGGAACATCATTTATAGTCTGGTGAAATGAAATGGAAGCTGTTTCACTGCATTGCATTGTACAAATTCATGTTAAAATATCAGTGAATATTCACAGTGAAATCATTCTGTAAATGAAACAAAGACGACTTTACTGTGGTCCAGCTCTGCATGTATTCTGCACAAATATTATTTGCAGGATCTGACTCTCTGTTAGAATGACTCAGTAGAAGAGCAGTAACAACAATTGCCATTTAAATTTCTTATAATTATTCACAGATTTTTTTCCTTGTTTGCTGCTTTACTGTGTGTCTTTTTAAAGTCTTTCTTTCCATTCCAAAGGGAGCTTTGGTATAGTCTGGTACATGTTTTGGCTTTTGGTTTCATATGAGAGTCCTGCAAAGCATCCTACAATCACAGATGAAGAAAGGAGATACATAGAAGAAAGCATTGGAGAGAGTGCCAACCTCCTAGGTGCAATGGAAGTAAGAATATTACTCATACACTTGTTGCTTATGAGATAGTAATAAAACCCCCAAAAAACAAATAGAAACAACAACAAAAAATCAAACATCCTCTTCTTTAAGACAGAAAAGCATGTTTCAAACAATTGAATTTTTTTGGGGGTGGGGAGCTCATGGTTTCTTATACCTAGAAGTCCTTTTGAAAATCTGACATGAATTGAGATACTTCAAAGGATGTCCATATAATTCTAATTTGGGCTGGATAATTTCTGTCTGTTTTCTATCGTTGCTTTTTAATTAAACATTTTTTGGAAGTGATTAGTTCATATCAATTGTTCAGTTGCTTCTAAAATATTTAGGCTGAAATTCTTCCCATAGTATCAAGTTAGCTTTTCTGGCTGCCTTCTCTTTAATTAAGTCACACTTAATCCTTAGCTCTCATTTAAGTGCAATTTAATAGGTATAAAAGGTATTGCATATATCCATCTATGGGCTGTTTTTCTTTGAAGAAAAGCCAGTATTCAAATCAACAGTAGACTAAATTCAGCCTGAAACCTTGCTGAAGTGATTTTCAAACACTCAACTGGGTCTGGATCCTGTATTTGGATGAACACAGATGGGCAGAACCCTGGGCTCATGGAGAGGTGCTGGGACTCAGCAGGATTGTAGTTCTGTCCATCTGTCATTTTTTTTTTTTTTCATTATGCAATTCATTTTAAAAATACAATAAAATTAACAAAAAATATACTGACCAAGCAGTTTCAGCTGAGGCTTGATAAAAAAATTATTCAGAACACTGAGATTGAGATTTAAGTGCTAAATTACATGTCTAAAACAAATCTGGATGAAATTGTGCACTTACAGTGTAAAATCTGACTGTTGCCTTAGATACAGCAACATTGCCTTTTAAAGACATATTTTTATTTTGCACTTAGTATGTTCATGTTTACATGATTGAGATAACGGCACTTGTACATGAGTGTTGGGATACAGCTAAGTATCACTGAGTTTCTCCACTCGTGCATTTTGTAGTAATTTTTACTTGCTTATGTTTTTAAATTAAATCTTGATCGTTCAAACGTGGATGCATGTACTTTACAATAATTGAAGTAATTAGAATTCAGATACGTAAAGCTGTGCATATATGAGCTTGTTGGAGTATAGGTAAAAACAACAGATAGGAAAAGGGAAGATAGATAGATAGATAGATAGATAGATAGATAGATAGATAGATAGATAGTTGGATAGTTGATAATGATCCAAATGGTGACTGGATCCCCCTTTCTATGTTTCAGAAATACAAAACTCCATGGAGAAAATTTTTTACATCTATGCCAGTCTATGCAATAATTGTTGCAAACTTCTGTAGAAGCTGGACTTTTTACTTGCTGCTTATTAGTCAGCCTGCTTACTTTGAAGAAGTGTTTGGATTTGAAATAAGCAAGGTACGTGAAAATAATGTGAAGCTTTTACCTTAGCTAAGTAAATATCAGAGCTACATTTGTGGTATTTATTAGGAGGAAGAAAGAAAAGTGTTCTGTGTCTTTATCATGGGTTTACAAGTCTTAAATCTTATCCCTCCCAGTTACTGTTCCCTTGACCAGCACATACAAGTGAAGTAAGAACAATGACAAAGGATTGGATAGGGGAAGGTGAAGGCAGGATGAGATTTAGTGATGATCTACCTGGGGCCATACTGCAAAAAGCCCTTCAGTTAAGCGCTTGAAACCAGATCGTGTATGGTGTTAGAAAGGTATCGAGAGACCCATTACACTGCTGTCCCTGACACTCCAGGGGATGCAGGATCCCACTCAAGCTGTAAAGAAAGCATTGACAAGTGGTTCAATTTTTCCAGGTGCATTTTACAAAGCAGGACCACCTAGTTTTAGGAAGGATAGTACAATTCATCACCTTTCTATATCCCCCTTTAATGTGGTGAGAACTGTTCCCCCTTTTTCACTTAGGAAGTGAAAGAGATGGTGGCAAAATCTGAGACATAGGGATGATCTAAGGTTCCACATAATTCGTAGGAATTTTGGATCAGACCTGTAATGTAAATATGGATACCTGCAAACAAGCCTTCAGAGTGTATGGTATGCTTTCTACTAGCACAAATTTCCTTCTTGTGAAAGTGGCGGGGGCTTGTGCTTTTGAGAGACCTGCATTTTTCCGGTATTGTTCCATGAGATATTGTCACCCTGAATTGTGGTGCAAATGACAATTAGATGAGTAGCTTCCAAGGTGTTGCTGTATTATGGAGTATTATCAAAATCATGTAATGCCATCCTGCATTTAAAGACGGGTTTCCCTCTTTAGCTTGGGTTATTTTAAGAAGCTTTGCTATGCTTGAAACATCATCTGTTATGCATGCAGTAAGAATGGTCACACCCTATAGAATTAATCTGATCATTTTGTTCTAGAAGATTTTTCTTAGACTGTATTCAAAGAAATGCAGAGCTTTGGAAACAATGACAGCAAAGTCAGTTTTCCCCTGCAGTGGCTATGGATGCTCATAAATGAATAGTTAGCATGTAGCCAGGAACACCTCAAAGCAGTAACAGCAATACCTTCGTTATACTTAATATCTGGCGTATTGGGAGAAACATCCATTAACGGGAAGCTAGCTGTCACAACGGAGATGCCACATACATAAACTGCAGTGAAATACACAATTTCACAACTTTAATTGAAGAGTAGAGAAAACCTGTTTTCTTTTTCTTCTCATTGATTCTGTCTGCCCTGCAAGCTGATGTAACTCAAGTCAGACATCAAGGGCAGACTGATACACCGTTCAGATAGGAATTGCGCAAAAAACTCTGGGTGTAAGCACATGTTCAGATATGCACAATAATCAGAATTCCCTGTTAGAACAAAATGCCATGCATACTAAAACAAAACTGCAAGGCAGTTATGTTGACAGGAGATAACAGGCGACAGTTTGTGCCACACTCACTTTGAAGGAATGGTCTCAAATAAATTATTACATTTGGGACAGTCATCACAGAATTACTGTCTTACTTTGCCAGTATGTACAGCATTTGGAATATTGTCAACGGATATTTAGTATGTTATCTTTCACTATGTACAGAGTTTCCCAGAGATATCCTTTGCCTGCCTGAAATTTGAAGCTTGAGGGATGGTCAGAAATCAAAGGCAAATGGCCATTGTGCATGTGAGGATGGTCCACAGGGAATCTGTCTAGACACATTAGGTTTGCTGGGCAATGCTACACCAAAGATATCACCCACAGAAATATAGCAAGTCAGTTCACAAATTGGGCAGAGGGACTGTAAGTCAGGAGAAAAAAAAGCCATTAGCTTAAATACAAACCGTGAAAACAATCTATAAACAAAAAGTGTCATGGCATCAGAGAGTCTTAAAAACTCTGGCTGTCCTTCATAAAATACAATGACAACTTAAGATCACCGGTTTTGTTCATTTAATAAACCAAGTTAAGATTTTTAGTTTTAGCACATAGCCAGAAATTGAAGAGAAACAATTAATTAGTTGCTGAATGCTTCAGAAAATGAAGAATCAATATTCTCTTACGGTTTATTCTCTGCTACTTCTAATGATTATTTTAGGTGGGTATCTTATCTGCTGTGCCGCATTTAGTGATGACAATTATTGTTCCTATTGGGGGACAAATTGCAGACTTTTTAAGAAGCAGGCAGATTCTTTCAACCACTACTGTGAGAAAGATAATGAACTGTGGAGGTAAGTTTTCCTGTTTTATTGAAAAGCTTCTTGTACAGATTCCATGTCCATATAGCATGCTGTATACAGTAAACAAACTGCCTGGTTTTATGTACTTATGAATCAATACTTTGTGCATTTTTTGTGTTTACAGATGTGGGTGCTAAAGTAAACACAGTTGTTCCTCTTCCCAGTTTCGATATAGATGTTTGGTATTTGAAAAAGCAGTTAGGTTGTTATAGAAACAGATGAGCTTTTGGGGGGTAATTTGCCTGCCCTTAGCTACTTACTGAATCTTAGCTCCTCATCTAAACACCCTCTGCACTAAGAGAGCCCAGACAACTACCTGAGATTACACAGCTGACTTCTGAGAGGTTACAGTCACATGAGCTGAATCCTGGCTGTGATAAGGGCTGCAAAATTCATAAGCAGGTTAAGTGTATATTCCCATTTGGGTTGGCTGGAATGACCTAACGGAATCACAGGTATTTCTTTTCATCTTAAAACTGACAGGAAGTAACAAGAAATTAGCACACAAAGAATAAAATAAGGATTATTCGAGATAGCAAGAAGACGTGTTTTTTAGGGATGAAAGAAATACCTGGTTATACTCCACTCTGAGGCAATGTTTTGCCTCTGTCTTCCTATGAAATGTTACCATATCCTAAGGCCTGCAATATTTGAGAGGGAATTAAATCTGATGCCTGATTTTCTTTATGCTTTCCGCAGGTTTTGGTATGGAAGCAACTCTTCTTCTCGTGGTGGGATATTCTCACAGTAAAGGAGTGGCTATTTCATTCTTAGTGCTTGCTGTAGGCTTTAGTGGATTTGCCATATCTGGTAAGATTTTATTACTGTTATTAGCAAATTATTTTATCTTAAGAGATAGAACATCTCATTTGGTTTTTATTCATTGACAGTAATTTGAACAAACCTCAGAATTGCAGATGACATTATTTATGATCACTACAAAGGAAAGTACAATCAGTACCACGTCTTCTATATTAGATTATTTCTGTTGAAATACTTAAATCGTTTCCATATTCATTGCAGCAAATTGGACTTTCTTTTCAGTGAGGTGCTAATGTACACCATAGATTTTTCTTGAAATCAAACATATAACACAAATGGACTGATATTATACAATGATGCCTAAATTTACATCTTTGTTTAAATATAGGCCTTTTACTGTTTTTTCCACTGTGTATTAGTTAATGCTTTGTTAGTGTTGCATTTTTTAACTACTTTGGGGCCTAATTACTAGCAATTTTTTCCTGAATTAAATTCAGCTCTTCCCCTTTCCTGCTGAATTTAATTCAGCTCTTCCCCTGTCCTGCTGATATATCACCCCTTTGCCTTTGCCTTTGCCTTCGCCTTCGCCTTCGCTTTCTCCTTTGCCTTTGCCTTCCCCAAACACAAGTCACCTGGCCTTCCCTTGTTTTCCCACTGTGATCTTCGTATCCTCTCCCATGCTGGTTCCTTATGTCTAAAACAGGCTCTCTTTTCTTTTGTGCCAAACATCTAAACTCTCCTTAATCAAATTTGTCCTTAATCCCACGTATTCTGCAAGGTATCACGCCTGTTTTGTACAACTTGAAAAGTGTATTGCACTTTCTCTAACAGTTATCCGTATCATACTGCCTGCTTTTTCCCTTTTATTATATTCCTGTATCCAAAGATTTGGTTTCTGTTTTCACTTACTTAAGTGCTTATTTTGTGGACAATGAGTTCTGTCACTTCAGAGAAGCATGTGTTTTTTCTAAGACTGTTTAAATAATCACTGCATAAATTTGAACAGAATTAAGCTGCTGGAAATACAAGAGAAGAAACAAATGTTTATAAAAATAATTAATAAATAATTTATACATACTGTCTTTTTACTCCCTTCATTCTACCACTCAAGAACAGAAGGGAACTCTCTCCTGCTGGTCTGTGTGACAAAAATAAAAATGTGGGCAATAGGAAAGGAAAGTGGTACAAGCTGGAAGAAGAAATGCCATGTTATTTACAGCATGAAATAGTCATGAATGGCACTGGGAAAATATGAACTTTCTCCCTGCCTAAATATCTTCTGGGTTCTCTACGCCACACAGTCACTACTGGGATTTTTTTAAAAACTGTAATTTTGGGAAGAAAATACATTTGGTATCCTTTTATAATATATTTTTAAAAGAAAATGAAACCCCATAGTTTCTCTAGGAATATTAAACAATTATGAGCCTTTCAGAGAAGCAGAAATGCAATTAAAGAGCCCGAATATGTTATAGTAAAATTGTCAAGTGATAGCATTACTTTTCAGAACTGAAGTAATGCTCTGCTTTGGTATGAACGTTTGCTGACCTTTGTATTGCAGGATTCAATGTCAACCACTTAGACATTGCCCCGAGGTATGCCAGCATCTTAATGGGGATTTCTAATGGAGTCGGGACCCTGTCTGGAATGGTTTGCCCTATAATTGTCGGAGCAATGACAAAGAACAAGGTAAATGGTAATACAGTTTTAAAATCTTCCAGTTTAATACCATTGGTTTCAAGAAAAAGACCTTTCCATGTTATAGCTTGCCAGAATATCCATATTGGAGTCTGGGACCCTCGGGGATAGCACCCGGGAACTTGTGAATTTGAAGCATGCTTCACTATATGTTCACTAGGTCAATCCTTTTGTAAGCAAATAAACAGTGATTTTTCAAAGGAAGAAATAATTAGAAACTGGACACTTAAATGTTTTAGTTGTGCTGACTGTCACTGCCTCAATCCCTAATTTAAATCTTTCCACTCAGAAGAGTTACTACGCACTAGTCTGATTTAGGAATTTCTTCTTTCCAGACACGTGAAGAGTGGCAGTATGTCTTCCTCATTGCTGCTTTAGTTCATTACGGAGGTGTAATATTCTATGGCATATTTGCTTCAGGAGAGAAACAACCCTGGGCAGACCCTGAACAGACAAGTGAAGAGAAATGTGGCTTTATTCATGAAGATGAACTTGCTGAAGAGACAGGGGACATTACTCAGAATTATGTAAATTATGGTACCACCAAGTCTTATGGTGCTACAACCCAGGTCAACGGTGGCTGGCCTAATGGTTGGGAGAAAAAAGAGGAATTTGTACAAGAGGAAGTACAAGACTCATACAACTACAAGGAAGGAGATTATTCATAACAAACATAAATATTGGATATATTTTGTAGTGTTTGTGATTAAATTCATTGTGATTGTTTGCACACAGAAATAAAATGTGGTATAAACATGTAAACACATATCAAACAGGAAGGTCTTACTGTAAAAAAAAATCCATTAAAGTGCAATCTGTATGAGTTGTGACATGTCATCACTTTCATTAGGTTATATTTGTTCTATAAACATTAGAGTTTTAAGGGTTTACTGGTCAAAACTATAGAGGCAATTAGATACTTACAGTATACAAGAGCTAAAACTCATAACTAAGGACTAAAGCACAACTAAGAAACCAAGTTGGCACATCTAATGCTCTTTTTAGAAAGCCAAAATTACTTGATCATTAAAAATGCACTTATATATTTGTTACACTGTATTGAAAGAGATTGTGTTAAATACACACGTTTACTCAGTGCAATGTAGGAATTGTGTGTTTAGTCTAAGACAAGAGCTTTCTTAAAGAAGAAAGGTTGAGTCCTAGGCATTTACAGAGGATTGATCCAGTTCCTTTAATGGTAATTGTATCAAGCCTAAAGAACAAATAGGGCATATTGTATGTTTATCGTGATTACATGCTGCAGGCTACTCTGTGATGAATAAAGGAATTATTTAGGAGTTTTATACTGAATGTTCGGGCACAAATTCTTATTTGTATTCTTTACAGAATCTTATGAAATTATAGTCATTGTCATGTTCTTCCCTGCATTTATCAACTAATATAAAAACAATATATAATGTTAAGTCTGACTTTTCATGCAGACTGTCAAATCCCTTTATCAAAAACCAAGTTTTATTATTCTTTTCTTTGCAGTATACTCCAACTTTGTACTGGTGTCTTTAGAGAGAGAGAGAAAAAAACAATATAAGCTAGAAAAAGATATAGTCTTCTACAAAATTCCAAAGAGAAGTTTACTACGAGCAAGTAGCCCTATGTAAAAGGATGTATTTGTTTTGCAGAATATTTTGAAGCCAATAGAGGAAACAGAGGATAATTTAACCCTTATTCTTCCCTTAATAGCTTTCATATTTTTACACATTGTGCCACAGTTGTATACATAGATATAAGTTTATTGAAGATACTGTAATTATAGAAAATGTTGCTATTTTAGAAATCCCTGAAATAAAATTGTATTTGTCTTTCGATTAAACCTAATAATAATGGACACTGAATACGAGTAACATATAAACTCACAATAAACCAAAGTGGCAAATAACTAGTGTTGGGTTGAAAGAAGCCAACAAGCATCACGCTTGTCTTTTTAGCACAACTCAACGGTGACTGCAACATTAGTGTACCAAGCAATAAGTGCAATGCATTATGAAGTGCATAATCTTCTAGACTATATATTAACCTTCATTTAGCTTGTTGTATATATTTGGGGTTGTTGGGACTAAACCAAACTGAAACAAACTGAAGTTAGCAACACCAGACCACTTCTTAATACTCTAAAATGACAACAATGATCCATTTCTTAATTCAATCAAATGATTATTATTGTATGTAATAATCCATTCTGGATTCTTGGTCTGTTCATTGTATTGTGCTAGTGATTGGAAACCCTGCTACCGCAATATACAACTTGAGGATTGTTTCTTCTCCTTTTTTTTAATGCAAATCATACCTTGACCTTAAGAAAAAAAATATTTTGCTTTGTGCCTCAAAGTGATGTAAAATGTGACCATAGCTTTTGCTGTGTTTAATGAAAAAGATGTGGACTGTGTCACTTTTGTTGCTGCAAAAAGTGTTAATAAAATGCTCTATTTATCCTTTTATATAAAAAAAGGACCATTGTAGTTTCTTGTCATTTTTTTAGATGCACTTTTAACAGAGATGACTAAAATTATAGCCACTGCAGAACAAATTCTGCTATCGATATGGAGATAATATCTTATGGCCCATCTGAAAGGTATGCTGAATACCCAGTGTCCTGCATTGTCTACTCGCTCCTCCAAACATGCACAGATGTGTGGTGGGAGAGGCACCTAACTCTAGATTGCTGTTCCTCCTCTCATAAGGATGGCTGGAGTAGGCGTGGAAGAGAAAGGAGGAGGAGGAGGATCAATGTGCCAGCCAATGCAGCGAAACTGTGTTAGCTAAAGAGCTGGCATGGATCAGCATTCTCTAAAGCAAATGAAAAGCATCACAGACTGCTGTTCTTGGAATTTGTTTCCTTTCTTGCTTCTGCAACAAGACTTCTTAACTGAACCATAATGTTACTTTTTGTCCATATTTGGGTAGACCCTACGGGAATTGGGGATAACAACAAGTCCTATATTAAAAGTAAGTCCTTTTCTAACAAAATTTTTACTCCTCAATAATTTTCTTGCACCCAGTAGAAGAATATAGAAACATCTAACCGAACAGCAGGCTGCAAAACACTAGACAGAACAGTAATGGGCCCAGTGTTTCTCACCAATAGCCATGAGATGCTGAGTCAGGTAACACACAAAGTTGCTGCTAATTGTTTTGATGGACTGGTGTGACGTTGCCATGGAAACTTCCTGAAAGATTCAAAAGTGGGATAAATAGGGGCTGTAGAAGTACTGTTGTATTTATCGTGGTAAGTGGACAGCTCAGAAAATGAAAACTAATTAACAAAATTAAAATCAGTTCTTCTTAGTTTTCAGTCTAATCTTACAGGTTCTCTATCTTTCGAAATTGTTTCAATAATTTTCTTTCATTAAATACAGGTATTTTTTTTTCTTATTAGCTTGAAACCTTTTAATTACTTAGAACAAAGGAGAGACTTTAATCTAGGCATTAGACATTGCACTGTCCAGCCATGCACAACTCAGTCGGAACTCAATTGCCTTTAAACGCTACACCACTCTAAGATCCTCCACAATTCTCTTTCTTGCTCTCTGCTTGTGCTTTGACTCCCTTACTTCCTCTTTAAATGGCAGTGCGGAGGAATCCGTGCTTCTGGGAAGAAGAGGAGAATGACAATTTTTACTGGATCTGTTTTAGGGAAGAGGAGAGTTGAGGGGACACGACCCTTCATCTAAACTGCTATATTTCTTCTCAGTAAATAAGTTTATGTTTCTCCCTTGCTACTTCATTTTTATAAACTAGCATTGCTAAAATATACCTCTTCAGCCTCTTCTGAACTGTGCCCTTTCTGCCCAGAGATTTCTTTTCTGCACTCAGATTCAAAGACTGCCTCTGCAGGCGCGTCGCACTTGTATGGAGCAGTGCTCCTCTTTTGGAACTCTTAGCAGCTCAAATCATCCCCGTTTATCAATCAGACTGTGTTCACAGTCACTTGATCATTTTGTCCTGTCACTTATTTCTGTTCTGTTCCCGTATCTGATTCCCCCTGCTCACTTACTATGTTGAAAAAAAGGAAAGGAATTGTTACTCACATTTTTGTTTATCAGTTAGTTACGTTTTCAGTGAAGAACAATAAGTAAAAGGAAGGGCCAGAATCCAGGCTAAATCCAGTTTAGGTGGGCTAGAATATCACCCCAAAAGTTCACCTTTATGTCCTCAAATGATTTCATATAGATAGTACCACTCAACCAGTGACAATTTTTTAAATATTTGAATCTACATTGGTCAGATCCCTTCTGTTAACACATACTCTTTGTTGCAGAGATAAAGCTATCATACAGTGCTCTTTGCTTTCAGAAGTGATCACAAAATTCAATGGACCAAATTTCATAAAAACACTTTTCTACAGGGGAAAAGAAAGCCTCAAGGTAAAGGTTGAATAACAGTGACAAAAGAATATCTGCAAATATGAATGAAGTCCTCTTTCATCATGAAGCTAGGAATAGGAATGTATGTGGAAGTCAGAATAAATGTCACAGTTCAAAGCCACACTGTTAGAAAGATAACATCACAGTCTTAGTTGCTGCCTCTGAAAGATGAAATGTTTTGTTCCTTTCAGGATAAGCTGTGGAGGAGTTTGAAGGCTAGTCTAAGTCTAGATTAACTACTTAACAGCAGCTGGTTTTGTGCTTATTTTGAATTTGTCTGTGGTTTTTGCTTGAATAATTTTCATTACACTGGGAGATTTAAGAGTAAATAATCAAAGGACCTAGAACTACGGTCAGATATTTTAATTAGATATCTATGTATATCCTCTCTGATCCAGCTAGTGTGCCTGGTGTTGCTATTCTATGTTTGCTTAACACTTTTTCACTCTGTTGTAACCCAAGGCATGGCAAAGAATGAAATGTATTATATATTTACATATGTACCACTACTGAAGCCTGTGTATTTAGTTATACGGAGGTCAAGTGTTTAGACAGTGTCTTCCATGTTTGAGAGTTAATGTTACAAAATGATTGTTGGCAAATGCCTCCTTGTTAAGGCTTTTAACATTAGAAACATATAATCCTTGCAATTTTTGCTTTAGGTGAAGCCACGCTCTCTCAAATGCCACAGGTGAGGCACTAGAAAACAATACAAAATAAGATTTTGAGTGACAGTCCAACCTCTGGCAGGCTCTTATCTGTAAGAAAGTAAGTAGACAATAAGTATGAAAAGCAGATGTAACGTCAAACATAAAATATAAGGATAAATTGGAAGTTATAGGAAATAAAGTGTTGTAGGAAATTTAAGGAAAACCTTATAGAAGAGCTGCCAAATTTCCTCACTTTTGCTCATGGCAGTAGTGACAAGAAAAAAACTGAATATGAAGTCCTAAATACCTGCTCCACCCTATCCTGAGTCTAAGGTATGATCAAAAGTTGGCTCAGAAGCTGATTACCACATTCTGGCTGCACTCTACCTTGTCCTAACATAGTTTCTAACACATTTCTCAGTCAGGGCCACGAGGGCACTTAGAGGCCTTAATTGCCCTGAGCATCCTGCCCTGGAACCCCCACTTGCACCCCAATCCATGATCCAGGAGCCCCATTTCAGCTCAGGCCGGGGCTTCCCTGTCTCTCGTCTCCTGAATAGAAGTTGGATCTATGTTTTGTCCTTGTCTCCAGTCCTGCCTCTGGCCCACCTCCTGTTGCTCCTGAGAGGGCTCTCTGGATGGACCCTGGACTTGATTCATTCCTTGCTGTCTCTGTGACCGTCAGTGGAGCTAGCACACTGCTCTGCCCATGCTGTTCAGACCCTGTGGGACTGCACCCTGGTCAATAAGGGCACAGCCAGCAGCTGGGTCACCCTCGGCTCGTGGCTCATTTCCCTGCTGAGCTGCCCTTCCTGCTCTTTCTCCTCCCTGCTGGACCCTTTCCATGATGCGTTGGTGATAGTCCAGGGGGACCTGCTAAAGCTCACCCTATGAAAGTGCATATGGTCAATTCACAATCCTGAAATTAAGCACCATTGCCGGTCCCTGAAGAAGCAGAATGGTGCATAATGATCCCATCATTATTTTCTTAAAACACAGTGAACCATACTGATGTGTTGGGCAGGAGATTTAACCTGTCAGAGCATACTGCTTCATTAGTAGTAGGTTTTCGATTCCTACTTAAAGTCTGTCTGTCTCACAGACGTACTCTGCCATCATGGATATAGTCAGGGTGCCAGTTTCCTTTTCCAGGAGGAGCTATGTTTCATTTCTTAGTGTGTCTTGATGGAACCGAATCAAGTTTTCATCCTTGCACGCACCGCAGGCTTTCTTCACTGTGTAGAGGAAGCTGCTGTTACTATCCTCAGTCCTTCTGCTGGAGATGATCAGCAGTTACTTGTACTTTAACTAGTTTTTCAAAACTGATATATCTTTGTACTACTTCTGGTTGGGCACTGTTGCATAATGGCATACTCTGCTCACAAAAGTATGCAAGCAAAGGATGTTCTTGATCTTTGCACTAAGCAGGGTCAGCAGTTAAAACTGATGGTTTGCAAAACTGGCAATCGAGGCA